CTAATAAGGTTAATTAGTCAATATTTAGCCAAGTAATTCAGATGTTTCTTGTTTTCTGTGCATTTATCTTGCTAATTTTAGAATAAATAAGGTTAAAGATGAGTAAACCAATAAAAGTGTTCAAACTGATTACGTTTCCAGGCCACTGACGAGCAAATATTTCAGGCTGCGCGTCGCCTGGTAGCGGCTGAGATCCAGGCCATCACGTTCCGCGAATACTTGCCTTCGTTGCTGGGGGGCACCAAGCACATCCCTTCTTATCAGGGGTACAATAACACCATAAACGTTGGTATGAGCAATATGATGTCAACAGCTGCTTTCAGGTAACACGCGTTTCACAGGGGTTCTGATTTACTAAATTTCTTCATGTTCAAACGAGTCTTACCTCATGACTGGCGTTTTAACCAGGAGCAGGGTTACGTTTTCGCGTAAAAGGATGTGAATCATTCCGTAACAGATAACAGGAGCCGATTACTTTTGGAGATAATGAATGATCCCATAACGGATAACACATGTAACGTAACGGATGTCCTGGGAGTAGACACTTTTGTAAAAAAATTAATATCGTTCTTCTGCGAAGAACCGTAAACGAATACGTAGAACCTCGATCTACCGAAGTGGCAAGGGACTGGGGAAACGAGACGAGACGAGACGAGCTAGTGATAACGAGAGGTATTGTCTCAGTTCAGAGCTGTATGTACATAGCACTAGAAATAAAAGAACAGGCAAACAAACCTGGTTAAAACTACTGTACATATAAATTTTATTCTCGTTGGTCTGTTTCAAATTCATCTTTATTTAGCTATCTGGCGGTCACATGTTGTGATTTATTCGTTATATCGAGGTATATTTAATGTTTGCGTTTCTGGGTTGTGCTCGTTATAACCGGTGAGGATTTAGCTAAATCGAGGACCGTTTAATCGAGGTTCGGGTCCATTTTTTTGAAGAAAATCGTTCGTTATACCAAGGACTTCGTTATACAGAGGTTCGTTAAATCGAGATTCCATTGTATCTGCTTTGTGTTAGGTTCGGCCACAGTCAGGTCAACACTCACTTGTGGAGGTATGAAGAGGATGGTACGATGTCTTCGTATGGACACGTTGCTCTGAGAGACGTTTACTTTTCTCCTGAAAGACTGAAGAGGGAGGGAGGACTGGATCCTCTGTTTAGAGGAGCAGTCAGGCAAGCAGCTCAAGAAGTCGATCTTAAGGTTTGTTGTGGCAAAGGTTTTGACACCCAAATCTATTTATCAATAATCTGGGTCAAGAGACAATAGTTTCTCATGTCTGGGCAAATTCTTGCAAAACATGAAAGGATAAAAAGTCGAAGGATTGACTTGGAAAATTTCTCTGAAGCCCAAATGGAAAATCTTCCTGAAGGCCTTTTAATTTATCTACTTTGATTATTCCTCTTAATATAACTAGAAATCATGGCTGGCATAGATGGCACTTTTTGTCCAGTTAACGCCCATCATGGCAGTGCATGACCACCTAATTAATCAAATTTAGCGGACGTCTAGGAAAACAGACTTTTGTTCCTAAAAAAAAGCCAAATGAAATTCACGTACCCCACCTCTTCCCCCGTCGGTCGCGCCACCTTTCTCGGCCAATAAAATTGCAATTAAACCAATTAACTTAAACTTCCGCTACGGGATTTCCACGCTTCGCAAAACCAACTACATAATATACTTTAAATCTGCTTTTTTTCTTGTGGTTTACCAACATTTGAGGCGTTTTTCTTAACTCAATAGATGGTGGACGACATGAGGAATGCCCTGTTTTCATCTGGTCGTGGGGTTGGTTCAGACCTGGCATCTAGGAACATACAGCGTGGAAGAGATCATGGTTTGCCTGACTACAACACCGTTAGAAAAGCTCTCGGTCTAAAAGGTAGGACAAGTAACTGGTTATAGAGGCCCAATATTTGTATGGGATGTGAGCAGTGTTTATCTTACAGTGAAACCTTAAGAAATATTTAACAGAAATACGACTTCATTATTGTTGCATTATTATGAAACGAGATATTCTTACATTTTGTTGCATTGAGAAACCCTATGGTTCAAACTGAGTCTTTGTAGTTTGTCTAAATTATTATTTTCCATTTATTGCGGTTTGTTATTTGCGTTTTTCCCTTTAATTTTCCACTTTTTATTTTGTTTTGTTTTTGGGCATGTTCCAAGGGTAAAGAGTTTGAAAATGAAACTGTCCGTGAATGTTCACCAAAAGTTTCATTAAAATAATTATTCAATCAACCGCGTAAGCATTCGTTTATTAACGACTTATCATATTTTAACTGGGAGTTAGTTGTCTGTGTTAGAGAAAATGTCTGATCCATGCACACAGTTTACAACTGTCTTTGAATTTGTGGAGAGGAAACCAGTGTCGTCTTTTTTTCTACTTAAAATTAGTTGCGTGAAAGAGACGTCTAGAAAATCTTTCTGTCAGAAGGTAGATGCAACACTTTTAGTGAGTTAAATCGATGGAGACCTAACTTTGAGGAAAGGCTTTTCGAATCTAGGTACTATAAAATGTGTACAAAACAATTTTTTTATCAAATAGAAACCAAACAATAGTAATCAAGTGGTATTCAGTCTCTTTTCAGCCACGCCTTTCCATTAAGAACCGTTATGTAATCATCTTGACAATAGCCTATGACCATTCATTGTTTTTCTCTGCCCGCAAATTTTCCTATAAAGAGGTTGAAAAGACACACTAAATATCTAAAAAGATGTTTAAGTTAACATAATTAGGCATGTCTGACATGTCTGGGCTTTTATACATTGAGTGGGTTGGCGGTACTTTAAAAACTATCTTAGCGTGGATTTACTTTTGAAAAGCGGTATCGTACAATGTTTAAGGTCGGTACGACACCACACGGTTGCTCTTAAGAAACACGAATTATTCCAGGGCACACGACTAAGGTCATATTTACCGAGAAAACAACAGACAGATTTGGTAAATCGTTCATTAAAAAGAAAAACAGTTGCTAATTTTTTATTGCGGTGTCAAAAACGACGCCGCAAGCAGGAGTTTTCTTGGATACAATAGAAAATAATATCTTAATCTATCATTCACGCTAGGCGGTTTTGCCTTGCTACAACTTTATTAAAACTTAAAAATAGTGCCATTGTCATTGATGCATGGATGATGCCTTCATTCCAAAACTGTACTAAGCAGCTTCAATTTATAGATTTTTAATAACCTTCAAACAAAAGAAAGTGTCGTGAAAGCAATAGAAGAACTTAACACTGAAACACCAAAGTAAGTGAGGTACTCTCTTTATAAAAGTAGGTGCAAGCTTCTGACCCGTTTGAAAGTATTCTAACTGAATGTTTTCTCTATGCCTAGGAAGGTACAGATCTTTGCATTTTGATGGCTTTCAAAAGAGCAATTGCTGTTTCCTTGTGGATTCTTGCAATTCAGTCGTTTACTGATCTAATTGCAAGTGAATGCCAAGGTGGTAGAATGGTCGGACCAGTGCCTACAGTTACAAATGAAAGGTATATGTTAATCGATATAATAACTATACCGCCGGTTCTTGAATCGTCCAGATTATTTTAAGCCAAACAACAGCACTGACGATCTAGCAAATGTTTGTTTTCAAACTTTTCCATCCGATTTGTGCCAAATCCGATGCCTTCCTTATACTCAAACTTTGAGTCTAAATTGGAGCATTCCGGCCAACAAAACAGCCAAGCCAACTAAACGACGTTTAACTGAAAAACCAAAAAAAGGGAGCGATAGACAACTTGAAAGGACTGCTGGATTCCAAAAAGGCTCAAAACGTCATGTAAGTTAGATCATCCGTCATATAAGCATGCAAGCAAATCATCGACAATGATTTCAACCAGCTGTTAAACTTGTTCTCACCCCTAGTTTTGGTGCCGGTGAATCATGTTATAGAGAAAAAAATTGTAGTCCTGATTTCACCTTTTGAGACTCCAAGAAGTATCTATTAAGCAATATAACCGCTGTATGTTTATACTTTGAAAACAAACGAATACTTCAAAAGTTTTTTATGTAACGAAATGCAACAGCATTCTGCTGAAGGAAGAAATATGAGGTTTCTTCCTTATTGCAACTTTTGCCGGACAACAAAAACAAGGAATTCTACAATGCAACATTAACATATGCAAAGGAATGTGCTGCTCTGTGGTTTTAATTTGGATGAAAGGTTTCATTCGCAAGCATTTGTCTTGTACAGAGGTGTTATAACAGCAGATTTTAGCAAATGAAATATCTATTTCCTAACAATTTTACGCATTATTTGAGGAACAAATAATGGGAAAAGCACAAATAAACAATACAACAGGTGTAGTAAAAATCACAAAAAGGGACAAACTAATTAAAAACAGATCATTGTTTTTAAAAGAATTGATATTTGTGGGCAATTGCAAAGGAATTGTTCAGTCTCCGATCGGTTTCGTTTGACACAGCATCACGATCTACACGGCACATATTAAACTCATTCTCTCACTCTGTGAACTGCATGTGCGTTAATTAAAATAACAGTTGTCAAACGCAAATAAATTGATCATTTTTAAGGCATGATTGAAATGTTTTAAGCATTTTTGACGTTATTAGAAGACCTCTAGCTGCTTCTCGTGTACAACAATAAAAAATTCCACAACTGTGACAATGATACGAAACCTCGTAGTAACTTAATGCCTAAAGTTAGTTGAAACAAACATTTAGTTTAAATTATTCTTTCGGCCCATACACACTGTGAGAGAGAGTTGATAACTGTCTTAGAGTTCAGTTCAGTTGACAGAAATGTTTAAGCTAAACAAAAAATTGGACATTGACTGAAGTTCTATTATATGGTTGATGTTAATATCCAGTTAACTGCAACAAGAATTTACCCAAAGAGGCAATTAATTCAACAACTGCTTTTGATTTCCTTTTGAAATTCATCCCTACTTGTGAGGGAAAAACATAGTGAATAATAAAAATAATAATACTGACATATTGTCCGAGAATCAGTGTTCAAGCTAAACTTCAATACTCTCTACTAGGCGTTTAGAGGGTACCTCGAACAATAAAGATCACGTGCGATGGGGTGCGGCTGAAGAGGACCTGGTGCGTGATGCACCTTCAATGTACGCTGACGGCATCGCTTTGCCAGCGGGCGCTTGTACACCTGAACAGAAGCAAAATGGGAATTGCAGATATATGAACGCAGTTAATGGATTTGGATCTAATAGGCCTTCACCGCGAAAAATCAGCAATGAGCTCTTTCAGCAGGTAGGCTATACTCGGATTTGGGTTTATGACGATATACCAGGGATTTTTGATTCTCGGGAACTTACAACTTAAATAACCAACGACTTAACTTATACTAATCTCCTTCTAGGCTTCGGCATGTCGAGGGAACTTGTGGGAATTTTTGATACATTGTTGTGTATTAAAGAAATAAAAAGATGTAATTCCAAGCTATTGTAGCCAGCACGGTGATGTGAATATATGGAATGGTCTCCCTTGGGAACGGCGGCCTTGAAACAACGCTTATGCTATATTTGAAGGGTTTTGGAAAACCAACAGAAGAAGACGTAGAATTTGCATTTTTCCTTTATAATATCCTACTGCAAAGCCAAATGAATATTTTTTAACTGTTTTATTGCAGCTCGACTCAGAGATTAGTGCTCGTCGCCTCAGTGACTTAAGCCCCAATTTTGGGCAGGTATTAAAACTTTTTTTGTTCAATCGCCTATACATATAGATTTGTTATTTCAAGCAGTTGTTCTTTCGAAAGGCATTCACCTTGTCTTTGTCTAACTGTTACAAGCATGGTTTTGTTTGACCGCTATTGTTTGGTATTGTGACAAAAATGATTATGTACAATTTCTCCCTTTAAACTGTGTAAACTAACACTGTCTGCCATCCAATGCAGTTCCTAGCGCATGACACGGATTTATCTGGTCCTATGTCTGGAGATGCGTTTACAGAAGTTTTAAGCGATGTATGGCTTCCCATTGAAGTTCCTAAGGTCAGTTGTAACGTTTTGAAGGACTTGCATCCTTGTATCAAACAGGTTTCCGGCCTACTGCACTTCCCCGTATAAACGCCCTCCCCGGAATAAGTACATCAACCCCTCTACCAAACTAGCAGCTAAGTACCCCACCTTCCACTCTCTTTACCCCTCCTTTTAACTCTCTGGGGTGAAGATATCTTTCACAAGGAATAGCCTCATAGCCGCAGTCGTTCTTGCCTTACTTCATCTTTTACTAAACCGGCATCAGAAAAGGAGATTCTTTTAAAATGAAGTCAGTTCCAGTTATCTCAGTATGAATGCTACTGTAGCCGGCCTCGTTTAACTAAATAGGCAAGGTGCATAAACTGAGAAAATGTTTTAGCTTAACGTACTTTCTTTGATAGTATTCCCAACCTTGTACGGATTTTGAACTCTGAAGCAAATGGCATCGATATCAAATCTCCTGTTAATTTGACAAACAGACATCAACGAATATTTAGTTGACCAGCCAAGCCGAGCATTGACTTAACCACTTCTTGGTCGCAAAGTTGTTGTTGTTTTTTTAATAATCATTTTAATTTATTATATATTTTTTTTTTGTAGGGAGACATTCACTTTGATCGACAGAACAAAGGGGACATTTATCTGCCATTCATTCGCACAACTTTCAACAGGTTTGAGAATTGGATCGACATTTTAAATAAATAAATTAACTGAATAGTTTTGTTTGACGAAAAAATGCCATGTGATCCTGTGTTCTCTGCAAAACGACGTCGGCCGGGACTGGATTCCAGATTCCGCATTCCTTGAGCTACGTATTCCGGATTCCAAAACCGAGGATTCCGGATTCCATAAGCAAAACTTTTCCCGATCCCGGATTGTACAAGCAAAAATTTCCTCGATTCCGGATTGTACAATAAAAAATTTCCCGGATTCCGGATTGTACAAGCAAAAATTTCCTGGATTCCGGATTGTACAAGCAAAAATTTTCCCGATTCCGGATTGTACAAGCAAAAATTTCCTGGATTGCGGAATCTGAATTCCCTTTCATGGGGCAAATGACGTGTTGACCTGTTATTTCAAAGTTTGAAAAATAGATTTATTCTAAATTAACTCTAGCAGTGGCTCAGTTGAGTCACGAAAAATGACACACATATAATTTGTACTCATGGCGTTTAACCAGGATATTTTAAGCGTAAGTGTCATGACAAGGTCACCTGACTCGTGTACCCACAGCTAGTCCGCCTTGACATTAATTTTTTTTAAACAAAATTGTTGTCGTCGTCAAAAAAAGTGCTTTTATTCAAAAAATAAACTAGATAGTTAGAAAATTTTATTTAAGTACTTTGTGTTTTTATACACTGGCAATGATAAACGTTAATACCTCCACTGTAAAGGACGACTTAATAGGGTTTACTAGGAGAAAGCAGAGCTTATAGTAATGTTCAAACTCTTGTCAAAAACTTCATCATCATCATCATCATCGTCATCACCAAAACCAGAGCAACACCATATATGGAGTCATTACCATCAATCTTCATTGTCGTTCTCGCAGTTTCCATGACTAAATTCATCTTAATTACATGTATGCGAGTGGACTTTCTTCAAAGTTCTCATTACCTCTCTTGTTCATTGCTATCTTACGGTTGTTTCCATCGATTATCGTCGTCATTACCATCACTGATAATATCATGGAATGATATGTTCATTATTGAGTGTGTACCAATGACCAAATAAATCTGTTTTTCCTCTTCCTAGATGTACTGGCCGTAGAACTAACACCCCAAGGGAACAAGTGAACAAACTATCCTCGTACATCGATGGTTCTGTCGTGTACGGTGAATCGGAAGAAAGAAACAGGGTGCTACGAGAATTTAAAGACGGAAAAATGAAAGTTGGATTTGCTGATCTTCTACCAGTAAGTTACAGACTGAAATTAGGCATCAGTGAATTTATAGCGCAAGGTTAAAATTTGGTATCATTTATTTTGTTTAGGACCGACATAGAAATCACATCGTTTTAGGTTGGAAAAACAATTAAGAGAAGTTTAATGCATCATATCAGCTTTTAGCTATGCAGTCCTAAACACGCCGCAGATTCAAACCATCTTTGGAGAGAATTCACTGTATCAAAACCTACATGTGCGACGACCAAATTCCCATAAGCTTTGAACATGATTAATCCAAAACACCAAAATGTCCTCGGTCAAAGCTTCATATTTAAGCTGGCTCGTAAAGGACCATCTCTCGTAAGCGACTGAGACCACTTGTGGGAACTACACATATTGTTACTTAGAAATTGCATGCAATAAACTAGTAATAGTTGACTCTACGGCTGCTCCGGCTCTGTATGTTCTCAATCAATTCTTAGTCTTAGTGTAGCTCTTTGAAAAATACTGATTCTTATTGAAGATTTTCCCACATTCAATACAACAGGTGAAATAAAAACAGGAAACGCAAGGTTCCATGCACTGATTCAGGTCGATTTACACTGTTTTGATAAAAAAATTCTCAGGTTCGAGAATATTTTGTTCTAAACCACAAAGAAGATTTGATTAGAAGTGGTTAATTTTAGCTATTTCTCTTTCACTTTGTACATACAGTCGATTTAATTAGCCGGGAAGTAAGCCTTAAAAACCAATTCACGCTTGCGCGTTCTAGTAATACTTGAAAGAAAAGAACCTTATCATAAAAAGGACATCTGCGAGCAGGGAATACGTTAGCACAGAATTTACTTGTCGGCGAATTTCTGAAATCGTCCATCGTTCTTCTTCTGATAAGCTAGCCGTTGATTCACTGGTTTGCATAGGGACTACTTGCTTGTCTGTGGACGGAGTCTTATTCCCGCAAAGAGATCTGTGTCTGGTAAATCGTTTCCAATAAAAGATTAGTTTATGATAAAACTCGTGTCTGGCAAACTCTCCAAGTGTTTATACAGTTATACGCCCCCTTACAACTTTATATTCACTTCACGACTGTCTTTTGGTCCATAACTTTCAAAACAGCTGCTCCTCAGAATGTCACTGAACACACGTAACGCAAAATTCGAAATATGACTGTACTATAAGTGTCACAAAATCAACCTAAGCGGTCCCTTCGGGTACTTTCTGTTTGACGTCATCCTAACCACTTCATACATGTACTTGCGCGAGTGAACTATAGAAACGTCATCATTACCCAAAGATTCATTGCGGCCCCTGATCAAGCAATTCGAGACTTTTCTGGTGTACTGACCGCATATTTCAACTGTAAGTACTTTTCTACATAGACACGCGAGATACTAGGATGCCTCCTCGGGGCAACTATCTTACAAAAAGTAGATGTGCCCAATTCTCTTGTCGTTAGAGACTTTTGTCACTCGACCTCCGTGGGCAACCCCTTCCCATAAGCGACCATCAAGACTTGACATTTTGAGTGGTCGCTTAACTGAGGGTAGATTGTACTTGCATATACAGTGGAACCTTGATATAACGAAGGGCGAAGGGACTGGCAAAATTTGTTCGCTATAACGAGGTTTCGTTATATCGAAGTTCTTTTTCATATATTTTACTATCACTGGCGCAAAGAAAATCTTTCGTACGTTATATCGAGGACGTCGTTATATAGAGGTTCGTTATATTGAGGTTCCACCTTATCCCAAAAAAGAAACATTTATTTGTCTCATAACAGGACAACACACAAGCGTTACCCAATGACAATCCAGTTGGCCGAGATGCCAGCCTTCTGCTCGCTGCTGGGGACAAACGAGCCAATGAACAGCCGGGTTTGATAGCGCTTCATACTCTGTTTGTACGAGAACACAACCGACTATGTGATGAATACAAAAGCACAAATCCTCAGGTACAGTGTTTAGTCCCTCCTTAAGGAGAGTTAAAGGCAATATTTCCTTGCACTGAACGACAAATACAATGGTTATACTTCCCCTTGATTTTACCTTTCCTTTTTAAGATAAGTCATGGTATTATTATTGTTATGGAAACGGGGAAGGGAAGCCTGGGATTTTTTACTGGGCTCCTTATGGCAATTCCGCCGCCATATTGCAAAACGAGAAGATTGATCTGTGGCATGCTTTGTGATGACTTAGTAACCGGGCCTTCCACCAAACAAGTCGTTTATTCGCCTTAGTTTGCTCACACGTTGAAAGGTACCTGTCATTGTAAACAATTCTGATAAGTCGCATTTTATTGTATTTCAATTGGAGGGCTTATGAGTCTAGTGTTTCCTACACCCATTTCACTCCAGTTAACTCGCATTATGATTGTGTTGGCTTAGCAAACTACCGCCGTGGCAACCTGAATTTCAGCCGTCTTTTTGCAGCTTCAAATTCAGGCTAAAATTAGTCGTGTATAAAACACTTTGGTAAAAGTGAGGTAATATTTGTAATTATCTGTCATTTCAGGATACCTTTACACAACAGTGCTTCATTTTGACAAATGCTTTGCACCTCCCCCCCACCCCCTTCCTATACACTGTACAAGTTTGAAACTCAGGAGGACTTGTGAACAGACAGGTTGAATAGGAGAGGTTTCTGACCTTAAATAATCATCTGCTTATCGTTTAAAACAATAAATGGACACCTTGAACGTTTTCAATCCGAGGGTCACAACTATTTACACTGTATATATTTGTGCCTGTGGCATTTGATGAACTAACGCCAGAGCAGTTATTTCGTTCCCACACGTGTTACACAAAGATCTGAGCCAGTGGATAAAATCATATGGTTTGATGACATAAGTTAAGCTATGCTACTGAATATTATGTTCCTGTGCTTCTGTTTATACTACAGTAGGAATCCCCCTCTTACTTTTGTCTCTAAATGCTTAAGCTAAAGAGAGCACTCCTAATCATGAGAGTGTATAAATGGACCCATTTTAACACTTTCATATGATATTTCGTGGTAGCTGGATAAGGTGGATCTTCGTCTGTAGCTTAACTCTTACAAGTGTGTTCGTTTCGGTCTCTAATGTGGTTAATAAGTCAATATTTAGCTAAGTAATTCAGATGTTTATTGTTTTCTGTGCATTTATCTTGTTAATGTTAGAATAAATAAGGTTAGAGATGAGTAAACCAATAAAAGTGTTCAAACTGATTACGTTTCCAGGCGACTGACGAGCAAATATTTCAGGCTGCGCGTCGCCTGGTAGCGGCTGAGATCCAGGCCATCACGTTCCGCGAGTACTTGCCTTCGTTGTTGGGAGGCACCAAGCACATCCCTTCTTATCAGGGGTACAATAACACCATAAACGTTGGTATGAGCAATATGATGTCAACAGCCGCTTTCAGGTAACTCACGTTTCACAGGGGTTCTGATTTACTAAATTTCTTCATTTTCAAACGAGTCTTACCTCATGACTGGCGTTTTAAACAAGAGCAGGCTTCCGTTTTCGCGTAAAACGATGTGAATCATCCCGTAACAGATAACGAATGATCCGCCCATAACGGATAACATATGTTACGTAACGGATGTCCTGGGAGTAGACAAGTTTGTAAAAAAAATAATATCGTTCCTCCGTGAAGAACCGTAAACGAATAAGTGGAACCTCGATCTACCGAAGTGCCGAGGGACTGGAGAAACGAGACGAGACGCGAAGAGAGTTATAAAGAGCGGTATTGCCTCAGTTCAGAGCTGTACATAGCACCAGAAACAAATGAACAGGCAAACAAACCTGGTTAAAACTACTGTACACATAAATTTTATCCTCGCTGGTCTGTTTGGAATTCATCTTTAGCTATCTCGCGGTCACGTGTTGTGATTCATTCGTTATATCGAGGTATATTTTATGTTTGCTTTTCTGGGTTTTGCTCGTTATAACCGGTGGGGATTTAGTTAAATCGAGATTCGTTGTATCGAGGTTCGGTTCCATACATTTTATTGTAATTTTGGCCGGCTGACGAAAATCTTTCGTTATACCAAGGACTTCGTTATATATAGAGGTTCGTTAAATCGAGACTCCATTGTATCTGCTTTGCGTTAGGTTCGGCCACAGTCAGGTCAACACTCACTTGTGGAGGTATGAAGAGGATGGCACGATGTCTCCGTATGGACACGTTTCTCTGAGAGACGTTTTCTTTTCTCCTGAAAGAGTGAAGAGGGAGGGAGGACTGGATCCTCTGTTTAGAGGAGCAGTCAGGCAAGCAGCTCAAGAAGTCGATCTGAAGGTTTGTTGTGGCAAACGTTTTGACACCCAAATCTATTTATCAATAATCTGGGTCAAGAGACAATAGTTTCTCATGTCTGGGTAAATTCTGGCAAAACATGAAAGGATAAAAAGTAGAAGAACGGACTTGGAAAATTTCTCTGAAGCCCAAATGGAAAATCTTCCTGAAGGCCTTTTAATTTATCTACTTTCAATTGATTATTTCTCTTAATATAACTAGAAATCATGGCTGGCATAGATGGCACTTTTTGTCCAGTTAATACCCATGATTATGGCAGTGCATGACCACCTAATTAATCAAATTTAGCGGACGTCTGGGAAAACAGACTTTTGTTCCTAAAAAAAAAAGCCAAATGAAATTCACGTACCCCACCTCTTCCCCCGTCAGTCGCGCCACCTTTCTCGGCCAATAAAATTGCAATTAAACCAATTAACTTAAACTTCCGCTACGCTTCGCAAAACCAACTACATAATATACTTTAAATCTGATTTTTTTCTTTTGGTTTACCAACATTTGAGGCGTTTTTCTTAACTCAATAGATGGTGGACGACATGAGGAATGCCCTGTTTTCATCTGGTCGTGGGGTTGGTTCAGACCTGGCATCTAGGAACATACAGCGTGGACGAGATCATGGTTTGCCTGACTACAACACCGTTAGAAAAGCTCTCGGTCTAAAAGGTAGGACAAGTAACTGGTTATAGAGGCCCAATATTTGTATGGGATGTGAGCAGTGTTTATCTTACAGTGAAACCTTGATATACCGAAGGGCCAAGGGAATGGTAAACTTTGCTCGCCATAACGAGGTTTCGTTATATCGAGGTTCTTACAACTGTATCACTAGGGGGAAAGAAAATCGTTCGTTATACTGAGGACTTCGTTTTATATAGAACTTCGTTAAATCGAGGTTCCACTCGATCCATTTCGAGCCATTTTAGACTATCGAATAGAAGTTACGAACCAGGGCCACATTTGTGGGAGGCGAGTACTCTTATCACTGTTTACTTTGTTGTTGTTTTTTTTTCCTTGAAGGCCTTACCAGTTTTTCAGAGATCACAAAAGATTCTGACGTTGCGTCAAAAATGAAAGACGTTTATCAGGATATAAACAATATTGACTTATGGGTAGGAGGCTTGGCCGAGGACCATGAAGAGGGAAGCGAACTGGGACCAACTTTTAGAACGTGAGTAAAATCAACAAAAATTTGTTCAAATACTGCGCACACGCACACTTGATTTTGAGAATTACAGGTGACAATGAACAATAACAAAACACAAAACTCAAAAAAAGATATAAATGCACTTACTTTTCACTGACTGATACGAAATATGCCTTAATAAAACGCATTGTTGACTTCGAGTGAAGTGAAGCCAAATGAGTGAAGTAAGGCATCAAGAAACAACACGCCCTTGCTTTTGGATTCAATTTGTTCCGCCAGATATAAATCCGGCCAAGACAATATTTTATGTACACAGTAATTTTCAAGGAGTTATCATAACTCCTCTAGTTGGGCTAATTTAACTCGTTACAGTGGAGTTATTTTTTGGGGAGTTATTTTAACTCCAAAAGGAGTTTAAAGAACTCTTTTTAAGGAGTAAAAGTGACCCCAGATAGTGAGGAGTTAAAATAACCCCCAAAAAAGGAGTTATCCTGAACCTAAAAGTTTTACTCCACTTTCAGAGTTAAATTAACTCCAAAAAGAGTAAAAACAAACCATGTAAGGAGTAAAAATAACTCAACTTCGGATTTGTTTTAACTCCAGACTGGGAGTAAAAAGAACTCTTTTTCGGGAGTAAAAATGACCCCAAATTCGGAGTTAAATTAGGAGTTAAAGTAACCCCCAAAAAGGGGTTATCCTGTACCGAAAATTTTTACTCCATTTTTGGAGTTATAATAACTCCCTTAAAATTACGGTGTATAGTACTGTATCGTTAATGCGTAAATGTAGTGACAATGACAGTTTGAGGGCGATACTGATTTGCAGTTGAAGAGACAAGCCTAAGTCATCTCCTATTTTCTCTTTCTTCAGAATTATGGTGCGTAACTTTCTGAGAATTAGAGACGGTGACCGGTTCTGGTATGAACGTTATCTGTCAACGGAGGTACTCTACGCGTCAATATTATTATAGCATAGAGTGTTTAACTATTAATGCATCAAGGGCTTTCATTTAGTTATTTCGTGGGCTCCAGGAATCGAATTGTCAAAGATTTATCGAAGATGCAAATACTTCATTCAGATTTTCTAATTTGTAACACTCAGCCGGTATTTTCAAAATGCGATGGAAAAATAATTTATATAATGATTAAGAGTCTTTGTTACAGAAGTTTAACAAAACCTTTGTAACTTTGTCAAGTGAAATTGGCCATGTGCCAGCTAATGATGGTAAAGAGCACGCGACAAACTTTCCATATGAAGAAAGAGCCCTGAAATGACATCGAATCTCTATGACCCTCATTGGCCTTTTTGATCTTATTCGAAGCCCCTTATGTGGCAGGTTTCAAACATAACAAACAGTTTTAATAACTAGACTGCGAGCAGTCTCTCTTTTTCTTCAGATTTAGTGAGTGCATGCAGGCGTGAGCGTCTGGCGCGTTCAGTCAAGCGCGTGGTCATTTGCGTGTCTCGCGCGTTTTGCTCGAGGGTCTAAGAAAAAAGAGAGACTGCTTGTAGTCTATTTATAACAGAATGGGGTATTAGAGAACAATACTGAGAAGTGCGTGTAGGGGAACATTGAATCTAAACACTCGTGGGAACATTTGTGGGAACAAGGGAACAGGAACACCTTCATCCTTGTGATCCGGCATTTTCATGGTTGCGTTGTTCGTGTTAAGCCAACTGCGTCGCTAGATTCTTCTCGTTTTTCAATAAGGCGACGGCAGCCGTCATGTTGGAAAACGACAAGATCTTGGCGACGAGGTTGGTAGCCTCTACCGCGGTCACACAACTAAATCAGTTTTTTCGTTGAATTGAGTGTGATTCCCTTTACCTTTTAGTGGAAGCATTGGCAAGGACGTATAAAATTATTAGACAAAGTAACAATTTTTTCAGCTTTCTCAGAATATAATGATATTGAGTTTCTTTTCGTAGAAAACGCATCTCGTCCGAGCAAAACTATGTTAGCAAAATGGCGCCGTCAACAAGAGTTTCAGTTTACAAACCCCTAGAACCTTCTTTAACAAACTATGAAAAAGTATATTTATCAGAGACCAGAAGAACTTTAGCGTCCAAGTACTTTACTTAGCTTTTGCAGTTTTGTTCTCTCGTTTGAACACAACGAAAAATTAGCCTTATCTAACGCCTCTGTGGACTCCATTAAATGACAAACCTAAAAAATAAATCTTTTGTTCTAATCAACAGGAAATCGACAAGGTCAATTCCATGACGTTAAGCAAAATAATCCGCATGAACACTGGATTCAAAACTGCACCAGATAATGTGTTCTTCTCCACGCAGTACTGCGCAAGCGTGAAAGATTTCCAGTGTGTGCCAAAAACTGAAACGACCTCAGTGACGGAGGCCACAAGCAACGCTACAAGGAATGCGTTGATAGCGATAAGCGTTGTTTTATTTGTGGTGGTGCTTGTACTCGTGACTGGCTTGGTATGGTTGTGGTACCGTTCACGACAAAAAACTACGAAAGTCATCCCGATAAAGAAGACAGGAGTAGACAACAAAGCGTTTGTTAATGAAGAAGTTGGTGTTTATGATCTTTCGTGATTATTTACACCAGCAAACACGGCTAAGAATTAAGTACAGCACCCAAGAATTAAAGTGCCACGGGCAGACAGTGGAGTTTGAATTGCAAATACTAACTCACGATACTAGACATTGCACAAAACTTAAATAGCCCGAGACTACAGCCGACATATTTCGCGACGCCAGCCACCACTGGTTTCCCCGCGAAATGACGTCGGACAAACGAAAGTAGAAATTCTATAGAGCGTTTTTCACATGACGTCACGGCAGCAATATTGGTGTTCCAAAACAATGAAACGGCGGCCATGTTGGTGTGCCAAGAAAATCCTCGGGGAGTTGAACTCTTTTCTTATGTAAACGCTTTCTTTTGTCCCAAAAAATTTGCATAGACGCTGGCCACGTGAGTGAAAATGCTCTATACTGATGACGCGTCACTACCCAGATCTGGGTAGCGCTTTTGATTGGTTGAACATTTGCTTCATTCAATTTGAAGCACAAACGAGATCTGGGTATTGACGCGTCATCAGTATGAAATCTCTACGTTCGTTTCTCTGACGTAGTCATTTCGCGGAGAAACCAGTGGTGCAGTCCCGAAATGTTGGCTGTTTTCTTAAATAAACCAAATACTCACAAAAATGTAAATAGTAGGGACAACATGAGAACTCTCGTAACGTGGAGGCTGTAAGAACACTGCAAAAACCCTGTACGATCAAGCTCGCTTAACTTGGGATCAAAAAAGATCCTAATCAGTCAGAGTGAATAAAGGTACAGTAATTCACTTGGATCTAAT